CAGTGCTGCCTGTGCCACATAGTTTCATAGGCCACATGGTGCTGGCCTGGCCCAGAAGCATGCACCTTCAGAGAGGACCCAGCCATTCTTGCTGTCACCCGGGGCCCCTGACACCACATTCAGGAGCTGTGCACCTCGGGTGAGGCCAGGCCCAGCCTCCCAGTGCCCTGCATTCCATTGAGCTGTTCTGGCTCCATGGAAGCAGGACCTGGCACGGCCTGAGGGTGCACAGCTTTTGCTTGCAGGGCCAAGGGCCCCAGGGGACAATAAGAGCGGTCCAGTCCTGCCCAGAGGTGCACACCCCCAGGCTGGGGTGGGCCGGGCTGGGCCCACGTCATTTGACACAGGTGGTACCAGGTCCCAGGTGGCCGGGCCATGCTGCATTGTGGTGGGGTGCTGCCAGTAGTGGGCCCTGAGCACCCTGACGGAAGCTGCTGCTGCTGCTGCTGCTGCTGCAGGGGGTGAAGTGGGCTGTGTGCCGTACAGGGGTGGGCAGGAGACCCACCCCTCCTGAGCAGTCCTCCCACCCCCACAGTCCCCCCCCACTCCCACACACAATCTCCTCCACCCCCGTGTCCTTATTTACCAGGGTCAGAGCCTGGGTCAATCCATTGTTGCAGTCTTGCCCTGCTCGTATTTGCCCCAGCATTCTGAGGCATCATGCTCAAGCAGCAGGGGAAGGGTGCTAGTGTGTCTGTTTTGAGGACCCAGCCTCCTGTTGCTCCTGGACCACTTTTTTTCCAGTGTGGTTTGTTTTTGTTTTTTTGAGACAGGGATTTCCCAATATCAAAATTAGATATGCAGCTTAGGAAACATTTTTTTCAATCCCGCATGCCTCTTGTGGTATCTCAAACTGCTTTGAGATGCTGAAACAGGCACATGCTCACTTGTCTGGATTCACCCAATAAGACTAAAAACAGACATTAGTAGGGACCTACCAAATTCATGATTTTGCGGATTCCATAACATCCAGCATTGCCCACAAAATCTGCAGAAACAGCAACATGCGGGGGAAGTGGGGGGCAGGACTTACCAAGTGCTGTGGCAGCTCACTGGAGTGGGGAAGGGGATGGGAGGAAGGGCTGCCTGCAAAGTGACTGACACCCCTGCCCATCGCTGCTGATTGGCTATGAGGGCTGCCTGTCATATGGCCCTGCCCCTGTCCACCAATCGGTGGCAAGGGGCAGGGCTGCACGATGAACAGCCTTTGCAGCCAATCAGTGGTGTAGGGCATGGCCACATGATGGTCAGCTCCCACAGCTAAATAGCAGCAAGGGGGCATGGCCACCAGGGCCTGTCTGCCAATCAGAGGCATGGGGTTGCTATCATGATGTGGCTGTCCAGGCCCCCTACAAATTGGTAGGTCCCTAGATGTTAGATTTCTCCCAGAATACAGCCTTTTATTCAGGTATTGTACAGATGGACAAATCCATTGTCCCACTTTAAGTACCTGTGAAATACCATGATAATACTCCCCATCACCCACCTCCCACACACAGTCAGGACTAATTAAAATTAATTACCATTCAAATTACATGGGTAATTTATTGTTCCCCCTGCCTGTTTTGACAGGACTCAGAGCCAGGGGAAATTAT